TATATATGTAACTATTTTAAATTATTAATAAAGATATAAGCAAGGCCTCATCTTAATACCAAAAAAAAAAAAAAAATTAGTTAAAAAGAAAATTGTTATTATTACATTATTATAAAAGAATTAATATTTTTTACAAAAAATCAACTAATGATTATTATAGTTCAAAAAAAAAGTATCAATATAGGCTGCTAGAATCATCAAAAAAAAAATACTAAGATATATCATATTAGATTATTTGAATTGAAAATTTGAAAAATTTATCAGATTTTAAGTTAAATAATAAAGATATAAAAAGAAAATGTTAAAAAAATAGGTACTAGAGTTTGGATGAATTTTATAAAAATAAAAATAATATAATATAATGATTTAAAATTTACTCTAAGACCTGCAGGTCAATAGCGAAATGGTTACACTCCCAGGTTACCAATCACAAGGTTGCCAGTTCAAGTCCAACAGGGGACAAAAAACTAAGTTAGGACTATAATTGTTAATTAACCACAACAAGTGATGTATTATAAAAATAGGAAGATTTTTGGTACCCAGATCCTTAAATAGTGACAGACCTAACATAAGAAGACCATAATGATTAAAAGGCTGAAGATAATAATAGAACAAAGGAATCTCTGATTAGAAATAGTTCTGATGAAATTCTGGAGTAATAGGAACACAAAATTAGTATATAGATAGTACTGTAAATGTATATAAATAAAAATATAAAATGTAAGCAAAGTTCTAATAGAAGGTCCTGTAAACTTGAAAATTTGAACTAATAAAATAGTCACCAACTGCAACCTACTAGTGATCAGGCAATGGAAATTCAAAAAAAAAAAATTTACTCTAATTACAAATATTAAGAACTATAATATGTTACATAAAGCTAAGTTAACTGTATATGAAATACAAAAAACTCTAATAATAATGCTTCTAAGAATACACTGCATAAAACAAGATATAAGATCCTAAAGGTATAAGTAAATATCTAGATCTTCTTGACTAACATATGTATCAAAATAATTTAGTAATACAGTAAGAATTGCAATACAAAGAGTTTAAATAAGCAATGCTTCTAGTTGGATTGCAGATATAACACTAGTATAGAACTATTAGCAGACTACTTAAATTAGATACCAAAAATGTATGTGTGACTAGTTGTACTCTCTAATGTAAGGAGACTTCTTTAAGGGTGAGTCCTTATATCCTAATTGCTGAATAAAAAACCCTAGTCCCAAAAGAGGCTAGTTTAATAATAATAATAATAATAATGATAATAATAATAAAAATTATTATTTGCAGTAAATTCGAATTTTAATAAAAAGTTTCAAATAGTAATTTGATTACTTATAATTAAGTTTCTGAAATCAACATTACATGTAATTTTCATTTTGTGCAAAAATTTTATAATGCCGGCATTAAAAATAACAATTCCGAACATAATGATGGATATCTATTGGTTCTGGCTAAACTTTTGAAAGTCGTTAAATTATCCCAAATCCCATAGTTCTACCGACGTCCAAATCTCGACAGGCCATAATATTGACATCACCGACGTGACAATTAAAAAATTTAAGTCTGACAATGATTGTTAATGTGATATTATGGTAGAACACCGAGAAAAAACATCAGTTTTAGATAGCTTTTGGGAAGTTCTGAATATTGTTTTTTTAAAAAAAAATTTAGAATATTTCTTTGTTTGCTAATAGATATTACGTCAAATATTAGTTTATTTCAATAAATTTTTAGGAATAATATATTTTTTTGAGGACCTTTACCATCGGCACTCTTAAGTGCCCCATAATACCCGACCCTCCCTTATGTAGTTACAATTATATATATAATATTTTTAAATTATATTCTATAAGTTATAACCTATATTTAGATATTTGCAAAATTATTAATCAAAAAAGCTTTCGTCAAGTTCAAATTAATTAAAAAAAAGTAAACGAAACTATTTATAATAAGGGCCAATGTACTAAATTTTTTACTTTCAAATAAACAATTGTATGTAATAATTTGCAAATTTATAATTGTATGAAATATGTAACTAAAGTCAAGCATCATTATTGCTACATGATCGATGTTGGTAGGCATATGAATATATTAATTAAAATTTATTGTTTAATTTTTAATTTGGCTAAAAATATTTAATTTATTTTTTTTAAATTTACTATTATCCACGTCTCTTACCCTTGCTAACTGGTATAAACCCATCATCATCAGCATCAGGTTCAGCGGTATAAGTTGGTTTTACAGGTTCAGTGATTATTTGCGACTCAGTTGGTGCATCTTCCAAATTAGAAATCGAGTCTTCATCATATGTATAATCATCCATTTGTTCTTGTAGAGTTGCTGTCCAGATTGTACGTCCAGATGACGTTCTTTCCATAATAGAAGATTCAGACTGTTGCTTCGAACGATTCTTCCATACAGTTGATTCCGGTTTCAATATACGAGTAGGACCTCGTGAAGACGTTGAAGATTGCTCAGAATCCTCTCCTTCTTTTGTTCTCCATGAATCTTCACGTGATCTTAGTTTACCATCTCCACGATCATTAGTTGGTGGACCGCTTCGACGCCAACTAACCGATTCCTCACGTGTTGGAGTGGAGGTAACTGAAGTACGACGCCAAGTTTTATCTTCAGTAGTCGAGGCACCACGTCCTGAATCAGATCGCCGCCATTCCATTTCTTCTGCACGGCGAGGGACGTCAGACCGACGTCTATCAGTTTCATCTGCAGTGCTACTGCGACCTGAATCTGATCTACGCCACGCAGGTTCATCACTCTCTCGACCGGTTGGCTGAACAGAACGCCGTTGGTCTTCTGGAGCAGTTGAACGACCTGACCCGGCCCTGCGCCATGGTTGTTCGTCTTTACTAGGTGTTTCACTTGATCGGCGCCATGCAGTTTCATCTTTAACATCAGTTGTGCGACGCCAAGTGTTTTCTGAACGACGAGCTGGAGGAACATAGCCAGAACTCCTTTCTTCAATCCTCCTACGACGATCTTGTTCTTCTTTTTCGGCCTTTTCAGCACGCTCTTTCTCCTCTTGCAGACGCTTTTGAGCTCGTCTTTCTTCTGCTTGACGTTCAACCTCTTGTTGTCTTCTAGCTTGTTCATCAAGCTTCCTATTTGGTTATGAGATTAATAGAAATTCGAATAAGGCACAATATAAAAATATAAGTGATACCGTTTCCTTTCTTGGTATTCTGCTTCTTCCCTTTCTTTCTCGATAATGCGTAGTTTTTCGAGACGCTCAAGCTCTGGTTGTTAAAAAAAAGCAATTACTTATAACGGCTCGATTATATAAATTTTAAAATCAAATAAAAGTAAAAAAACCTTCGACACGACGCCTTTCTTCTTCTTCTTCTTTTTGTTTAGCTTCCTCTTCTGCTTCCTTTATCAACCTTTCTTCTTCTAATTTTGCTAAAATCATTTGCCGTCTTTTTTCCTTTTCTTCTTCAATTTTAGCTTGAGCTGCTTTACGACGTCGTTCGAATTCTTCGTAGCGCCTATTCTCAATTTCTGATCGATATTTTTGATAATCTGGTAAGATTCTCATTAGTCTCTCTTTTAATTTAAGATCTTCTGTATGCTTAGCAAAAGCTGTCTCAAGTAGCAATTTACGAGCAGCTTCATGATATGCTCTATCGGTTTTTCTTTGTCGTTCGTAATCTTTTTCTAGAAGAGGGATTTCCTCTTTACGATAAGCACGTTCAAGGTGATCCATGCGCTTAGCTGTAGCTCTGAGACGTTCATTAAGTTCGCGTTTTTCTTTTTCAAGTCGTTCGACTTGAAGTCTAACAATCTTATCCGGATCCAATTTATCCAATTCCTTAATAATAAATGTAAATAATGAATATTATTAGGACCATCTTAAATCATAAATTTATGTTAATTTGTAACTTATTCTTACATCTGGTTCAAGTTTTATATTTTGAAGTTTAAAAGTTTCTGCTAATTTACGGGCTTCCTCTTTTTGAATGGCCTCACGTTCACGTTTTTTCCTCTCTTGTTCACGCTTCTTCGCCTCTTCCATTTGACGTTGTTTTAGCTCTTCATCTCTCTGTTTTTGGCGAATAGCTCTCTCACGCTGTTCTTCTTTTTCTTTGCGCATTAACAATGTTTCCACTAATTCTCTCCGTCGTTCAATAATAGCCTTTCGCGCAAGTGCATTATTATGTTCTTCTTCCATCCCCGCCAAAGCACGTGAAAGTGCCTGTGCTCTAGCATTTTGTTTTGCTTCAATAATAGTAGGATCTATCATATGGACAGTTGTATAAAAACATTTTGCGAGTCGCGAAAGTTGATCACGCATCCTATCAGCTGGTGAAGCTTGCAATTTGGCACCATCAGCATCAGCATTTTTAGAAGCAGCAAATAAATCGGTTTCAAATGTTAAACTACTAGTTGCATGATCAATACGAATTGATAATTCTCCTTTTTTACACCCGTTCATGATAAATTTTTCTATTGTTGCAGCATCATAATTATATGGCGGTGCAAATGACGCAAGATTGATGACAAAATCAAGTTTAACGCTATCATAAACTTGTGATAACTGTTGAAAGAGTCGTGTCAAAATAACTTGATGTAAAGGTTTGACATATTTTGCCATTTCAGTATTCTGTGAGAGATGGTTCATTATAGGTTCGATTTTTTTACAAATTGACAAAGGATGAAATTGGACTTCTAAAATATTGTAAAGCTCTCTCAGTTCAGGACGAACTCGACGCAAAATATTCTTATTGAGCTAAACGGAAATTATTTGTTATATAAACGTTAACAGTCTTATAATACTTAAAAGCTCTTTAAATTTTGCACATACCGCTTCTTTTAATAGACCGGACCTAGTTGGAGAACGACTCATTCCTAATAATGAAGCGAGCCGATGCTGTTTGTTTTTGTTGTCATCAATCTCAAGCATACGAGTTCTTGAACTGGTAATAACAGGAATGGCAAGAGCTGACAACAAGACAAAAGAAGCCATTCTCGTGCTCTCCTCATCGCTAAGAGTTTTATTCTGTGCTTTCACCAAGGTATAATATCGATTCCAAGAAGAGGCATGGAACAAGTAATTTTCACTAACTAAAAATATCTTTGTCAATTTATCATAATAATTGGCCATCATTACAGATTTTGGTGGCCTCTTTGACATAGATAGTAAATTATGAATATCTTCAACAGATCTAAATGCTTCCTGCCATAATTCTAATTCAACAGCTGCGTTAAGCTGGTTGAACCGAGTGTCTAAATGTCGCTGAAGTGTTTCTGGCTCATTTAGATTAATAGAATGAGGTTGATGAGCATATTTAGCAATATTTTGAAGATGATTGCGGAGAAGTTCACATAGACGACGAAATTCTGTCTTTCGTGTATATTTGAGGCAGAATTGGAATGCTTGGTGCGCAGTTTGCTACATACGAAGGACAGAATGTAGCATAAGCTTATGAAAAAATATTATAAATATTAGAAAAAATTTTCATATACTTGATATAAGACTTCCAATCGTGCATTATTCCTTAAGATGTCCAAAACTGTTCTATACGCTTCCCACAAGAATTTGAGCCAAGGTGTAACAACAGCTCTATCAGTCCTATCTTTACTTTGTTCACCACTCACTGTACTTAACATAATTGATTCTGGAGTTTCAGATGCTTCGAGATCATCAATAGCATCCAAAGTAATTTGATCAGCCTTTGCTTGGGCTGCGGCTACTTTCTCTTCAGATAATTCAATAAATTTTTTTATGACAAGCTAAATAAAATAAGTTGGTATATTTAGTCATTGGTACAAAATATTGATATTGTGAAATATAATCAATCTATATACCTCAATAGTTGTAACACTTGTATTTTGAGAGATATTCTTGTACTGATGCAAGCCTTCTTTTGCTGTTTTACCCTTCCTTAAATTGACACATAATTCTACAAATCGAAGCATGATCGGTTCTAACGCGGAGAGAGATGTACTACGTGAACGCTTTGAAATTACTATCTCGTGAAGAGATGTAAGAGCAGCTGCGTTTTGACCAACCGCAATTAGCTCTAAAAAAAATTTGCAAAGAATATATGAGTGCATAGATTTTAAATTCAAATGTTGAACTTAAATTCAAATATTGTATCATCGAATTTCATGAATGATTGTTAAGAAAAAAATAAATCAAATAAACAAATTTGTAACGCATTTTTCACTAATTGCGTGCAATCAATTTGTAATAAGTAACCGAAAATTTATTAACCAGTTCTCAAAAATATTGATCTGGAAAATTGAAAATACCTTCAGCTCTTTTAAGAGCATTTTCTGGTCGTTGGTAAAATGGAGCCATGCCTAGGACGGCTAATCACTAAAAGAAAACGACAAAAAAATGGCTTCCACTTATTATTTTTATCTTATTTTTAGCGTGATGTTTAAAAAAAAAAAAAAAAAAAACTTCATCTGCGGATTACTTATCGGACATATAAATATTAAAAATACCCAATTTTATTGGCCATGTATTTCCGCCTGCCGGGAACTTTAAATTTTTTTTTAAGATCACCCTTTTCAGAAATCTCGAAATTCCTCTTGCAATTTTTGTGATAAAGGCGACAATAACATGGGTTAGTAAAAATAAATTTCATCCGCACAATAATCCATTTCAGCCTAATGAGTTTTGACGAACTGTCAATTGTAATCTGTCGATTTTTATTGTTTATAAACATTCAATAAATTCATAACGAAACGAAAATTCGGGTTTCACTATGCCCCAAAAAAATTGAATTTATAGACAACATGAAACACTTACAAGAAAATTTTAAAGGAATTACATTTATAAAACCTCAAATTGCTGTGATCTTTTCAATGTGAAATAGGTATTAGCAGAGACTCCCGCCACAAGCGTTCGCACACAGGTGCTAAACGGGCTCAATATCGTAAAAAAAGAAAGTTTGAATTAGGCCGTCAGCCAGGTAACACGAAACTTGGACCAAAACGTATTCATGAAGTCCGTGTTCGTGGCGGGAATAAAAAGTTTCGTGCCCTTCGTCTTGACTCTGGTAACTTTTCATGGGGATCGGAATCTATTACCAAGAAAACGAGAATCATTGCTGTTGTTTATAACGCCTCAAACAATGAATTGGTTCGAACCAATACCCTTGTAAAAGGGGCAATCATTCAGATTGATGCTACTCCTTTTAGGCAATGGTTTGAAGCGCACTATGCTCAACCTCTCGGTCGCAGGAAGGCCAAGAAGGAAGGCCAAGTATGTCAATGTTTTCTTGCTTATCATTTTTGTTGTGAATTATTTGATACTAGTTTTAATACTTAGAATAAATTGAATCATTGAACAAACATTAAGTACTTTTAATTTTATATATATATATTTTTTGAAGCCTGAATCAGAAGAGTTGAGCAAGAAACGATCTAATCATGTTCAACGAAAAATCGACAGTCGTAAAGAGGATGCTAAGGTTGACCCCTTATTGGATGACCAATTCACTACTGGCCGCCTTTACGGTAAGATATATATATAATATACTTTTTTTTGCACCCAATGCAAATTAAATTTAACAATGAATTGCTTTAAACTTTTAGCCATCTTATGTTCCAGACCAGGCCAATGTGGTCGCGCCGATGGTTATATTCTTGAGGGAAAAGAACTCGAATTTTATGTGAGAAAAATTAAATCGAAGAAATAATCAAGTTAGCTTCATCCGAAAAAGAATAAAGTACAATGCAACATTTTTTAGCAGTCATAAAGTAATGTAAATAATAAATTAATGGCGTTACTGTTATTCAAACTAAATTTATCGAAATGTTTTTATTGGCTATTACACATAATTTAGATATTATCATAGGATGTCAACTGAAGCATTACATTCAGTCACTTGAAAATAATCAGAAAATACATAGCCATGATCGGTTGGTTATTCTGAAAATAAATTAAAGATGTCACATGTCTATATTATGTGAGTGCTAGATTATAATAAAAAATGTATATTATTTTTGAAAAGGTAATTATTTTTTACTTATGATAAAATTAGTGTTTGATTAAAGTCTTTGTTTAGATTTAAATTAAAAATCTAAGAATTAAGTTTTTATATACGTAATAATAATCACGGTGTATGTTTTAGTGATTGCTGTTATTTATCGTTTTAAATAAATTAATTTACCAAATTTTATATATAAATTTATAAAAAGAAAAGTTTTTATTAAATTATATGCAATTTTTTCGGTATATAAAATTAATAAAAAATAATAATAATTAAAAAAAAATCAAATAAAAATAAATAAAAATACAAAAAAATAAAAATAAAAAATATTAATAAAAAAATAAATAAATTAAAAAAAAAAACTAAAAAACTAAAAAATAAAACAATTAAAAAATTAAAAATTAAAAACTATTAAAAAAAAAAATTAAAAAATTAAAAAAATTAAAACAATAAAAAAAATAAATAAAAATATAAAAAATAAAAACATAATAAAAATTAAAAAATTAAAAAATCAATAATAAAAACAAAAAACAAAAATAAACCAAAATTAAAGATCAAAAAAAACTAAAAAATATAAAAAATAAAATTAATAATAAAAAATTAAAAAAATTAAAACTTAAAAAAAAATTAATAATAAAAATACAATAAAAAAACAAAACAAAACAAAACAAAAAAAATAAAAAAAAATTTATTAACTAAAAATATAAAATAAAAAAATAAAAAAATATACAAAAAAAACTATAATAAAAAAATAATAAAAAATATAAAACAAAACAAAAAAATACAAAATAAAAAAATAACAACAAATATAATAAAAAATATAATACATTGTTGATTGATAGACTGTTATATGTAGATCTTTTGACCGAAATTCTCAGAAAGCAAAAAATACAAATAACATTAAAACACACAAGCAAACAGCATTTAGAGCATTAAAAAAAAAGATAAAGGATCATAAAAATACAATTAACCAAGTTGAAAACAAAAAATAAACTAGAGCAGCAGCAAGCAACAGCAAGAGAACAAATTTTTGATGAATTTTGATAAATAAAAATCAACAGAACAGAACATGTTAATAAATCTATACAAAGTTCTTAAAGAAAAAGTTTTAGCATAAAAAAATACAAGTTTTTTATCAATACAACAATATAAATATAGCTCTCTTTAATAAGGTTTATTAGTTTAAACTTGACTTGAAAGTTTTATAAAAATTCTTTATTGTTTTTTTTAGAAAAGCAGAAAATCATCCTAGATCTTGAAAACAATCAGTCAAAACATGTGGTCAGTTGATAACAAAACAACAATTAACACAACATATTACATATATAATGATATTATTCTAATTAGAAAATAATAGATAAAAATCTTTACATGTATTACTAAATAAATGAATAAACAATAAACTAATATAAAAATAAAAGTACAGTGCAGACTAAATCTTCTGAATGACATAGAACTAATTCAACATATAAGAAGTTTTGGTGATAAAAATAGAAGATATATAGATAGCAGAATATTAGATGAAATTTTATCAAAGCGAATAGATAATCCAAGTAACTTAAAGTATATAGCAAAAGATCTTGCAATTTATGACCCAAAAAATATCACAATAGATGATATACTTCTTTATAAACAAGTACTTGAAATACTCAAAAAAGCAGAAACTTTTTCAGTAATAAGAAATATGATAAAAGAATGGACAGATAAGCTTTTAGCAGTAGATTAAAACCCAAAATCATTTAATTACTTGTTAAATATAAAGAGTGAAGAAATATAGAAAATAAAAACAAAAATAGAAAGAATAGAAAGAGGCAAAAATACCAAGAATATGGATATAGTTTATATTAGAAAAAAAAACAACAATATGAAATTAATAGCAATGAAGAAAACAATACAAATCTAAATATAGTCATTAACCAAATGCAAGATCTTAGCATATCAACATCATTACATTGAGAATTAGTAAAATATCTAAATAAAAAGATTAAAAAATTAACAATAACAGAGATATAAACAAAAATAACATAAGAGATAAGAAAGCTAAAAAGAGCCAAAAGAGTGCAGCAGATTTCCTATAACAAATAGAAAGAGGCAAAATAGTAGATCAAGATTAAAAAAGTATAAAGTTAACTAAAGAAAATAATGAAACACCTATACTAGTAGATACAATAGAATATAGCCAATAGTCTTAACAAATCAAATATATGACAAAAGCAGATTATTCAAAGTGAATATGCCAATATATACAATATTAGATGCAAATAAAGATGAAAGATTAAAATATACATAATGAATCTTATATGACAATCATCATATTAAAACAATTTAAGAGGTCTTTAAAAATAGAAACAGCTAAATTAAGGTAGATTTTAACTGCGAATTCAGTAGGGATATAGCAATGAATAGAATTAAAGAAAAAGAAGAAGATGACTAAAACTTATTCCAAAAGAAACAAAAAGCCAAAAAAAGAAACTAAGCTGCCAAACAGTAAACAACAACAAAAGAGACAAGAATAAACCTAAAGAATACAAGAAAATTAGTAAAAAAAGAGATAATAGAAACATATATCTAGCAAAAAATGAGTCAGAGTTATATATATATCTAACAATATAGGATCTACTAGCAAACATCAATGCAGAAGAAATAGAATACATATGTAAAAATCTTAAAGAAACTCAAATAAAATGTATTAAAAGATCCAAATATAAAGCCTTAGCTGTAGTTAAAGCAAAAAATATAAAAGAAAAAAACATATTATAGTTTTTACCAATCGACATATACAGGCTAGCGAGAGTAACTATAAAAGAAAAAGACTTCAACTAATGCAATTCACAAAACCAGTTTATAGCAAAAATATTAGAACTTCCAAATGATGTATCAGAAGTATTACTATTATGATGCTTGAAGAAAAGAAGAGCAAAGTCAATATATATTCTATTTAATAGGAATAGAAATCAGAGAAGATTTGTAGCAATAATATTTGCAACAGAGAAAGAAATGAGTGCAGCACAAACAAAGCTAATAAGATTCAACAATCACTTATTATTTTGATCAAACTATATTAAAAAAAAAGGAAAGAGTGAAAAGAAAAGTGATACTACAAGTTATAAGAAAAGAGATTATAATAGTAAAAGCTCTGATGAAAAATATATGAAAATAATCAAAGAAAAAAAAGTAAACAAAGAAACAACAAGAACAAAAATAATAACAGAAATAGAGAGCATTATAGAGAAAACTTAATAATCAAAAATTAAAAGCAAAAGATGATAAAGAAAGAAAAGAAACCTAATCTCAAACACAAGAAGAAACCTTACATATCGAAAATATCTTAAGATGAATACTAAAAAAATTAGAAAGA